TTAACACTAAATTATTGCAAATTAATTTATTATTGAAATAAAATTGATCTAGCATGGTAGAATAGAAAATAACACGATATGAAGGCAAAAAGTTGAAAAACCGAAAAAAAGTTGCTAACTTTGAATGTCTATATCTCGGCCATTTTTTAACGTAGGAACTTCTACCAGCCGCCATTTTAACGGAAATTACATAAGCTTCGTTTTTCATGAAGCAATGCCTATGCTTAAGTCAATTCAGAAAAAAGTTATAGTCAATAAAAAGTCAATTTCTTGATTTTTTTCAAGTTGTATTTGGATTTATTTTGTTGAAAAAACAAGTATTTGGACTTCAAAAGACGTCATTTCGATAGGAAATTTTATTCTCTACAAAAAACCTCAATGCATTTGTGCACTAAAAATGCATAATTATTGAGTTATAGCCGAAAACCCAAAAAGCTGACAAACTCACCCCGCTCTTAAAAATGCACTCCTATATCTAGTAGCACTCCGCGGTTTTATCATCTTTAGGGGCCAATTGAACATATTAAACAATAAAATTCCACGAACGTCTTAGTTCCTTTTACCCACGTTTTTTTCGACATAGTCAATAGCCTAATAGAAAGGCAAAATTTGGAGAATTAGAGCATTTAATTCAATATTAAAAAAAAAGATGTGTTCAGTTTATACCTGATTTTTTGATAGATTCTAATTTTGATCTCTTTGAAGTCTTTGCCCTACTTTTTTTTTCGTTGAAAATATAGAGTTTCTGTCCGATTTCCTGGCGAATACTGCTTAGTTAATAAAGCTTCCAATATTCTCATGCGACATGTTCGGATTTATAATTATGGTTTATACAGGGTGTTTGGTAAGTCGTTAGGAAGTTTTCAATGAGTGATAGTTAGGGTCATCTGGAAACTGTTTGACCATGTTTACCCTTATTCAAAGTTTTGTTTGTTTTTGAGATATCAGCATTTTTATATATTTTTGGGAAATATTTGAATTCTTCCTAAGACATATTGTTTTTTTGGTAGTAGCAACAAATAATTTTTTTTCCGACATTCCTAATATGATGATTGATACAAAAAATATGTGACTCAAGTTATGTCTTGAAATGCATGGATTCAAAATATCTAAAAATGGCGATATCTCAAAAAACCGACGAAACTTTGCATGAGGGTAAATATGGTCAAACGACCATATGACCAAATGACCCCACACCCCACCTCTCACTCAATGAAAACTTCCTATCGATGTACCAAACACCCTGTATAATAATAAGTTTGTTTTTTAGTTTGTTAAAAACCACGAAACATCTATCTTTTAAATTAAGAACGATAAAAATGTTCAGATTTGTTGATAGATAACGAAAACAGCTTAGAATGTCTTATGTTGATGTTTTTTCCCTAAATGGCATAGTTTACAAACTATAAGTTATCACAGTGTAGCTGTCCGCCCAAGTACTCTATCAATTACTTAAATGGTAATGGCGAGCGGGTTTTATCGATGGTGTTTATTTCCCTGGGTAGCTACAGATAGAATTGTGGAGGTGGTATTTAAATTGCGAGAAACAACTGGAGTAAGGTTTCCATACGTATACTTTTATTATACTATAAAATAAACAGAGCCAAACAGAAATAATTAAACTGAAATTACAAATTATCCAATCATTACAGGCACGTCTTTCTACTTGCCAGGTCCAGATTAAAATCTAATCTATTTTCAATATGAAACAACCTACCTTTAATTTGATTGAGCAATAAGCTTCAATAAAAACATTTACTCGACAGGAAAATATTATTTCATCATTATATGTTTCAATTAAATCTCTCAATACATCTATTCATACATTTTTATAACTCCTGAATTCATTTGTTGCCAAAGTAAAAATATTTAAGAGCCATTTCACTCACAAGTCAATTAAATTTGCAATAAGGTTCCATATTTAATTCACTGCCTTTTGTCCTTTCTACCTAAAATTTGAATAGTTTCTGGTTCCACCATGAATTCTTGTTATTTCGATACGCTGACCTAAAATCCTCTCCCGTTATTTTCAGGAACTATAATTATTTGTTCGACCAAAATGTCGCAATTTGCTTGATTATCGGGATCGGATATCGTAAAAAAATGAGGCCACAGTTGTAAAAGGATGCCGAACTCGTGTCGGCCATAAATAATGTTTTCTTTTTTATATGGATGTTTCACAATTGCCCCCACAATTTAATTACTTTTAGTAAGTAGAGACGACCGCGTGTTTACTACCCCGATCGAAGTACGTCTCGATACTATTATCAATATATGGCATTATGTGCATCTATTAACTGGTATTCCTGCCTGAGAGCAAATGCTGCCGCAAATACCTTTTAAAAAATTACATGTGCGCGTAAGATGCATTGCAGAGTATCGCAGTATGCGTTACTGCGTCGTCCAACCCTGCCGCATAAGGGGTTGTTTGATAACGACGAACTACCCTCATCGCCTTACATAGGGTATCAGATTAAAGGCATCGATGTCCTCTAACTGAAAAGTCGATCCTACCTCGTAAGAACTTGTCCGAAAAAGGTGGCAGGGCAGCTCATTGGAGCACGCGCGTGCGATCTCATCTCATTTTTGGCTGTTTAGATACTACACCCTACATCTATCAAGTTTTGCTCTCAATAAGGTGTCAAATTGAAGGTCTTAATGTCGTTTATCTATAAAGTTCATCCTGGCTTGTGAAAACTTGCCGAAAAGATGCGGCATAAAAGGATCAAAATAAGTCGAGTAATTATTGGTATTAATAAAATTGATAAAGTCTGTGAGGCTTTCGCAGCCAAGGTTTATTGATAAAGTAAGTAAGTTGGAATTTCTTCGTGACGTTTCGCTAGCACGCGTGGTTAGCATCTTCAGAGGTGCTTCCATGTCCGATTCTAGTAGCAGACTGACGCGCTCCTGACTGTAAATTCAGTAAATTGTATTTATGAGTGAGTGGCTGTAGTGAGGGAGGAGCGGGGCTTGGCAGCACGTGGCTAATCTGAACTTTCTCTGTACTCAATCGGATCTTTCTTGCGTTTTTGAGGATCGGGTTCCAGATTTGGTTAAGTTTTAGTGTTTCTTATTTCCTGTTGAAGTTCTCCGTATGTTGGTGGATTTCAATAGCTTCACGTAAAAGACGATTTTGGTATCAGGAAGTGGGTAATTTCGCAATCACTCCACAACACCTGCCAACGGAGGAAATTATAGCCAGCACTGAAGTAGCCATCAGAGCGCTACCTGATGTGGAAGCAGAAGAAATCCGTATTGAGATGGCTAATATTTTACCAAAAATCAACCACCAACCAGTAACCTCTCTAAGAAGGAACTAATGACAATTAAGAAGCTGAATTCAGCGGAAGAATTGATCATCCTACCTGCGGATAAGGGTAGCGCAGCTGTCCTGTTAAAAACTGAAGACTACAACCGGAAAATTCAGGAAATCCTTGATCCATCTACCTACCGAAAGCTAAAGAAAGATCCCACCCAAGCCATACTTCGGAACACTAACAAACTGATTAGGTCATCTACCAGACCCATAGTGAGTGCACCTGGAGCATCAACGTACAACCTAGCGAAACATTTTGCATTGCTTTTTCAACCGCATGTAGGAAACACAAGCTCTTACGTCAAGGACCTCACTCACTTTGTCCAGAAAACTAGGGATATTTTTCTTCAACCTAAGGATATTCTGGTCAGCTTTGATGTCGTGTTTCTATTCACAAAAGTGCCATTGACAGAACCTCTTGACTTGATATCAAGTACCTTCCCCAATGACATGTTGAGCTTTTCCGGGCATGTCTCACTGGTGGTTCCAGTGGAACGGCGATTTCTACGAGCAAACGGACGGTGTAGCTATGGTAATTTCGCTCAGCCCGGTCATAGTCAACTTCTTTATGGAGGATTTCGAGAGGAGAGCTATCGCATCGGCCCCAAACCAACGGTTTGGCTTCGATACGTAGATGATACATTTGCGGTTTGAAGTAATGGGGGAGAGAAGCTTAACCAGTTCCTAGGCCACCTGAACGCGCAACATCCTAGCATACAATTTACCATGGAGAAGGAGAAAAACCAAGAAATCGCATTCTTAGATATGCTCAGACAGGTATACCTGCATGATTTCTCAAACCACGATCCAAGGCAAAATGTGGAATTATAAAAACGTTAACAGAAGGTGCTCGGAACATCTGCGAGCCACAATATCCCGAGCAAGAACTGGATCACCTCAAGTCCGCCTTTTTCTTTTTATCAAATGGGTACTAACCCAAACTAACCCAAAACTGCCACACGACAAAACGTGGATGAACAACTAGTGGTGACTAATGCATATCTGACTTTCATTTTTCGGGTGACAGACAGGATAGGGAAAGTCTTGAAGAAACACAACATAAAAACAATCTTCAAGCCAACAAGGAAAATACAGCAATCAATCAGATCAGCAAAGGATAAGAGCAACCCACTGTCAAGCACTGGAGTCTATCGCATACCATGAACACGTTGTCATGTATACATAGGAATAACAAAAAGATCCATGGGAACCAGGATCAACGAGCACAAAAGAAACTGCACACTAGGACAATCGGAAAAATTGTCAGTGCGGAACATGCGCTTAGTGAAGGGAATCACGAAATACTCTTTAGTGAGTTCAAGCTTCTTAGACCGACTTCCGGATACAACAATTATCTTGTACCTACGTGAAGATATAGAAATCCACAAACATACGGAGAACTTCAAAAGGAAAGAAGAAACCTTTTACTTTTTTCACGATTTTCTTCAAATTTTTCGTGCGGTACAGTTTTCCGAAGATGACAGGGCAGGATCAACTTTATAGATTAAGGACATTGAGACCTTTGTTGTTTCATTAATACTGCGCATAATATATAAAGTTTTAGGAGTTTTAAAGGAGTTTTAAATCAAAGACAGGATTTTTTCGAAAAGCAAAGACGTCAGTCGATCGCGTTTGAGGACGAAGTATTTGATGTGGAACTCTATTTTAAACAAGAATTGGATAGAAATCTGCTATCATAGAGGATCTTCGGCAAAGTATCCAACGCCTTACTAAACAACAGGCTGGAGTAAAGGAGAGTTTTAAATCTGTTTCTGCCTCGTCGCAAACAACTTCCACTTTCTTCAAAGATAAGGAAATACAGACTGAAACTCATAGGGTGCCTTCCACCACTGATGATCGTACCGGAAAATCAGATAATTATTCTGCTACCACTAGTGAAACTCAAACATCGGTTTCATGTTTAAAAAATACCTTATCGGCTGAGGTCTACGAGGAAGTTTTAAGTGATGCGCTGTTTGTGTACAACATGACGCGTATTCAAGTACCTCGCTCAACCCAGACAGAGCCAAATGGTCTATTAAACAATCAGTCGGACTTTTTCCACACCAGTGACAAACTGCATCAACCCTCCGAGCCCCTAACTAAACCCAGTGAATCAAGCTATCCTTCAAATATTGAGGAGATACCAGATCTAAAACTAAATAACATACAAACCGAGCAGTTGAAGAGTATTGACACTTCATCTTCAAGAGGTAAACCCTTTAACATCACCAAGTATGATATTAGAAATAAAAACATCCTAGTTATAGGAGACCAATATGCAAAAGACTTTTCTAAACTTTTAAGTCCATTTTTGGATCAGGGCACCTATAATATTTTTGGAAAAGTGCATTCTAACGCCCCTCCAAAAGAAATTATTAAAAATATTTTTAACACAACTATTACTTACAATAAAAACGACCATGTGGTAATATTTTTGAATGTAGATATTTATTGTAGTAGACGTATCTTAATAGTTATTTGTATACCAAGGCCGCGAAGTGCCTTTTAGCGTACGTAGAGAAAAGTTATCGCCGAGGCCGCTTGCGGCCGAGGCAAGATAATCTCGAGGACGCTAAAAAGTTTCGCGGTCATGGTATACACACTATTTTTTGTGCAACCATGAAAATTATGTGGAATTATAGAAAAAATGTACTCCTTTCAACAAACATGTGGAACTAATTACCAGTTTGATGTATAACCTGGTGGCTATGGTGTCACAGCGTTTCCATGGATGTCATGGATGACATATTTTGCAAGTAAACAAATACACAAAAAATTTTGACGGTTCTCAAAAAATCGTGAAAATATCCGACAGCGATACAGATGTTTCACTCTCTTGCACTCCTCCAGAGCTAAAAAATATGGTTCAATCAGCTATTTCTGAGTTAATACCTGGAAAACTAAGCGGCAATATGAAAATTGTTACTGCGAGTTCAAAAAATTGGTGTGACAAACAAAACGTCAAAATGGTGTCTGAAAGCATATTGGCTAATTTAATGCCGAAATGGGAAGTTTTGAGAGTTCAATTCAAAAACACTGGATTATTAGTTGCTTCAGCTTCAGGAGTAAATATTAGTAATAATGCAAACTGTCATGTAAGTGTTAATATTTATCCTAAATAATTTATGTTGTTCTGAAGAATTTGGAAATAAAATTTACTTATTGTTGTTGTCAAAGTGTCAAATTTTGATTTATAGTTTCGCGGCCGTCACCAAGGGCAACGGCCGCGAAATTGAATTTCGCGGACTGTGTGGCGGCCGCGAAAGCTCATTTTGCGAATGGTTGCACAAAAAAGAACTTTTTTATGTGGGCAAGTTCACTAATGTCATAATTTGCTTACATGGTAGTAATGCCCAAAAAAATAATTCTTGTTTTATTAAAATATACAGTTTTATAAGTGCTCTGAAAAGGCGGCAAAATTCCTCTATTAGAATTATTGATAACTTTAAAATAAGTGGCAGATATAGGCACAGTAAGAAATATCTTTGTAGAATACTATCATTATATATTAGGGTTAATTATTTCAATCATAGTCCAATTCTTGTGTCTGTAAGGTTGAGTGACTCCAGTGTGTCGCCTGATGACCGGGTAGAAGCTGGTGAAAACACTTTTGACATTGATCATTCGCTATCCAGAACTGGAGAAAGAGAAAATGACAACATTCAAACGTGTGATCTTGGCTTAAGTAATGATGGGGATTTTTTAGGCCTAACCACAGTATTGGTGAACTATCCTTAGCTTTGCTAAATATACAGTCAGCTAGAAACAAAACAAATGAACTTTTTATATTTTAGACAGCATTTCATTCCCTAAGATTGTTTTGTTGTGTGAGCACTTGCTAAGACCAGATGAACTATTTTATTTGCCGAATTACACAGTGATAAGTAAATACTGTCGTTCACAAATGGAGCATGGAGGCTCACTAATACTGGTAAATGACGACTTTTTAGAATTATGTAGATTTACCCCTTATGATAAGTTTGATTATTTGAACCAGGAAAAAACATTTGAATTATCAATGGCACATTGCATGAGGCTCAACCTTTTTATTATATGTTTGTATAGAGCCCCGGGAGGAAGCCCTGAAGAGTTTTTGTATAAGCTAGAAATGGTGTTGTCTGGAATATCAGCTGGATGCCGTGTCATTCTGGGTGGTGATTTAAACTTGAACTTTTTAGACATGTGCGACTGTAATGCTCAAAATTTAAAAAATCTACTTGCCTCTTTTAATCTAAGTATGTTTGTTGACGTACCCACTAGAACTACAGAGCACTCGGCTACCATTCTAGATTATCTATGCACTAATATGGAAAAGGATATGGTCGAGTGCGACGTGGTTCCGGCGGGTCTGTCTGATCATGATGTTGTTTCGGGTGTATTTCAAATTAGGACTAAGCTACCCCGAAAAAATAGAAAAAAGGGTAGAATATATTGTAGGTCAAATTATGATAGGTTCTCCAAAATCTGTACTGAAAAGAATTGGGGAGCGTTATTGTCGGCGCAGGATCCTTTAGAATTATTTCATTATTCTCTATGTGAGTTATTTAATAGAGCATTTCCCATTAAAAAACTGACTATAAAACCTAAGAAACCTTGGATTACAAACGGTTTAAAAGTATCTTCAAAAAACATGCGCTCTCTTCATTATATAAGAAAATATTTCATTCATAATTCATTTTTTAACGCTCTATTTTATTCCTACAGGCGAGTATATCGGCAAACAATTAAGAATGCAAAACGCATTTATTAGGGTAAGCGAATAACGCAATCGAGTAACGTACAGCGCGAAGCCTGGAAGTGCGTTAACGAATTAAGGGGTAAAAATAAAAAAGTTCAAGCTGATACTAAACTATCTCCAAGTGAAATGAATGAATTTTTTTGTTCTATTGGGTCAACCTTAACGAAAGATATCCCAGAAGATCACAATTACAATTACAATATGTTCCTAAAAAATAATGTTCAAGATTCCTTCTTTTTTTGTCCTACCGATATCCATGAAATCAAGCAGACCCTTCGTGAAATAAAAAGAAGTGGAGCTACTGGGTGGAATGACATTTCTCTTGGTGTGCTACGAGAACTAAAGGACGATGCCTTAAAGACCTTAGCGGATTGTATTAATATTTCATTTCTCAATGGCGTTTTTCCGGCTTGCCTAAAGAGGGCCGTAGTTGTCCCTTTATTTAAGGGTGGTGATCAAAACGAAACTCATAATTACAGGCCTATAGCTTTACTTTCTATTTTGTCTAAAATAATTGAAAAACTTGTGAATACAAGAATGAATTTATTTTTAGCGAAGCACAAAACTTTGAATTTACAGCAATTTGGATTCCAGGCAAACAAAAGCACAAATGACGCAATATTTTCATTCCTGGAAGAGCTTTACAAGAGCCTTAATAACAAACAGGTGGCTGCATCAGTATTTTGTGACATATCGAAAGCCTTCGACTGTGTAGATGACAGGATTCTACTTAGTAAATTAGAGAATTATGGCTTCAGAGGTATTGCTCTAGAGTGGTTTAAGTCATATCTTTCTGATAGAGTTCAGACAGCATTATTAAAGGGACAGTCGTCAGAACAACACACATTAAATGCTGGAGTTCCTCAGGGATCTGTGTTGGGTTCTATACTTTTTCTCATTTATATTAATGATTTGGCATATATTGATATCAGGGGAAAGTTTACACTCTTTGCCGACGATGCCACCATTCTATGGCAGAATGACAGTGAAAAACAGCTTTATGAAATAATTCGTATCGACATAAAAAAAATCAAGGCTTGGTGCGATGCAAATAGACTATGTCTTAATATAAATAAAACCAACATTATGTCCTTTGGATGTAACATAGATGACATTTATTTAAATGATCGTCTACTAAGTGGGGTTAACGAGAACAAATTTTTGGGAATTCTTATTGATGCGAGACTTAAATTTGAATCACATATTCTTAATCTAAAGAGTAAGTTAGCTTCGAACTGTTACGCAATAAGAGTCATTTCGAATGAACTTACGACAGACATAGCTAGAACGGCATATTTTTCTTTAGTGGAATCCCATCTGAGATACGGAATCTGTTTCTGGGGAAATTGTACCAAGCAATTGTTTAATAGCGTGTTTCTGCTACAAAAACGAGCCAAAAGGAACACTTTTAAAGCCAATGTTCGCGATACTTGTAAACCCCTGTTTATTAAATCTAATATTTTAACACTTGCCTCACTTTTTGTACTGGAAACAGCTTGTATGGCATATAAAAAGTTTAAACCCCTAAATAGAGTTGGGCACGCATATAACACTAGAAATTTAGACCAACTCTCTCTGCCTAGACCTGTATCATCCCAAGTAAAAAACTCGATTGTATACAGGGGAAAAAAGATTTTCAATCATTTACCAAGTCATGTAAAATCACTGCCCACAATGTCTAAATTTAGAAAAGAGGTGTTGTGAGAATATTGTTGCCGAGAGCCTATTATGATATTGACGATTTTTTTTCTAGTAGTTTTTAATTTATGTTAGTAATTGTCAGTTTACCGCGCGTGAATTAATTTTTTTTTGTTATGGTTTCGATTAGGTAGATATTTTGTTTGTGATGAGTGTTTAAAATGTTCATGTCTTATACACCAAAACTATTGTTAAGAGCTTTTTCTCTTCTTTTATATTTAATTTACAGAAATATTTCATTGTTTGCTTTGTGAACAAATATCTTGTATATTTCTTTTTACACAATAAAGCACGATTTTGATTTGATTTGATTTGATTTGATTTGATTTTCCAATTTCCTCCAGTGATATATTAACCATTTAAACATATTTGAATTTTTTATCGCCAATCAAAGTTAAGAAATTTTTGTTCCGAATACAAGAAAGAAATAAAAAGAAATCTTGAACAAAAAACTAAGGTGCTTGCCAGTATTTTCATATAATGGGATTCTTGAAATTAGATAAGAAACTCATTCCCCTATCCAGAGTCTGATTTCATTCCGAAGAAACTCCGTAAAGAAAAATAAATTTGTTGAGTCTGGACTTTGCGCGAAAGTTTCAGATGCTTTTAGAAGTTTATCAATGTGTTAATTAATTTTCTTTGGGCCAAATTAGGAGTCCTGATCAGGCGTTTAAGTTGGGGTAATTATTTATTTTATTTGATAAGGTCTTGGACAAACTTTTGGTGTGGGAGGTATTTATTACCGTTTACAATAATTTGGAAAATGTGCGACAA